TATGTTATTTGGAATGCAATAGTAAATAACTATTACTTGTAGGCACACTCCGCTGCATGGTAGTCAGTAATAGTTTAATCATTTGCTTGTTCTATTAAGAGTAACTACCAGAATTTGAAGTCTTTAGCTTTCCCCTTAGCTGTTTGCTTGGCTTGGTTTAGGGTGGTAGCATTTCAGATTCTCTTAGAGTTTCGGATTTAAATTCTCTCCGGAAACGTCTCAGGTGAAGAATTAGAATTACTTTATGAAACTATTTGGATGTTAGCTTAGATTCGGATTCCTGAAAGGGTATGTTTTTATATAAAAAATCATATAAATGAGCTATGTTTGAAAAAAAAAATTGAACATTTTGTGGATGAAAAACAACTTCAATACAACCCATTTTAACCTATTGCATAAAAAAGATTATAATTAAAAAACTATAATTATTAGTACACCGTAGCAAAGCAGAATCCATGTGAAACCAGCTTTCCGGCGTTTTGAGTTCCAAAGAAGGAAACGTGCTTGAAATGTTAGTTTCTGCGTCTGGTACGGATTCCACCGTTTCTTGCTGGAATCGGAACCGATTTTCAGTCTTCCAAACGGCCCCTAGGGCAGCAGGAGTGGTACAGTTCGGCTGTGTTCTCATTTTGAGTAATGTACCTTTCATGCTACCGTAAATGGTATTGTTTAATCACTGCAAGTCTATTTAACTGTTTGATCTGTTCACCCAGTACCTTCTTTGTTAGACTGTCTCCAACAAAAACGACGCAAAAACGATACCCATTCCCTAATATAGGTCATCTACAGTGAAAAGTCAAGGATCCAAATCTTTGCCTTCTCCAACAGAGCCCAAGCAACCACACCACCGCCCCCCGCTAGATCTGCTCCGCCGCCACCGACACCCCCTCCTCGCCTTCATTCGGCGAGCTCCTCGCCGGAGCAGGGCCCCGCCGCAGCCGCTAGGAGGGCGAGGTGGTGGCCCCCGCCGCGCAGGAGCAGCGCGGTGAGCGCGAGGACCGGGAGTTGGAAGAGGAGCAGCGCAGACTGCGCCGGGCCGGGGCAGAGCCGGTGGTGGGCGGCCCGGCGGGGCAGCGCCCAGGGCTTGCCCAGCAGCGGCGCCTGCGCCTTCTTGTCGTCGGGCTCCGGGTCGTCCAGCGCGTGGAAGGACGCAGCGCCTAGGCCCGCGCGGACGGTCGGCGACTAGAGCAGCGACGACGGCGTCCGTGTCAGCTTACCGGCCCCGCCGCCGTGCCCATCCATGCCTCCCCGCTGTCTCGCCACCGCCGCGTCAGCTCCGCTCCTGGGCACGGAGGGAGTGGTTGGGAAGTGGAAGAGAAAGAAGAGGGGAAGTGGGCCGGAGAGGCGTCTGGAGGTGCCGGATCCAACAGAGCCCGAGGAGGAGGACTCCCACTTGCGCCGCTCCTGGAGGCGCCGGTGCGGCGGCGGGGTGGACGGAGCTCACGCCGAAGCCCTCCTCAGCTCCCCCTCTCTGCAATGCTTTTGCGTCGTCGCGAGAGACGACACTTTTTTGCCTATCGATTCGCCAGGTATCCAAAATGGCTGCTTCGGATGCATGCTCCGTTTGAGCGTGATTCTAAGACGCAAAACACTGTGCGTAACACATTTTGCGTTTGTGTTACGCTTTGCCTACGCCATTGGAGACCGTCTTAGTAGAGCCCTTTTTTTATCGAGTGTTGTCTTCTCGGTTCAGGGTACAGCTGATTTATTTTGTTCGTCCTCTGGAACAGTAGCAACTCAGTAGTTTAATCTTTTGCAAGCATGCTTTGTCTAGTAGCCTTGATAATTACTTCACATGTTTAATTGGTGCATGTTTTTGTCGTAATTAGAGAGTAACTTAATTCGTGCTTTGCCGTTTTGATTCCGTGATGCTTCGAGAAATTCCTACTATTGCAAAGACGACAAGCAGAAAAGATAGGTAACGAGTAAAATTCACCAGCAGTCCTCAAAGTTGTGTAGAGGTGTCATTTAGGTTCGAAAGTGTCCCAAAATACATTTTCGGTTCCTGAAGTTGTAACAGATCTCATCCACGTCCCAACGGGTGTTTCACCGATCCGCTATCCTACGTGACATGGATCTAATATGTGGGACCCACATGTTAGCCGCAAGTCTCTATTTTAGAAAAATCATATCTTTTTTTATGATCTTGGTCGAAGATAATTTTTTTATAAAAATTGTAGCCCTCGTTCAGATCGATGACTTTCTAGTTTTAAGTTTTCTGATTTGAAATTGTTAAGATGCTAAAAAATAATATAAAGTTTCAGTAGCATATTAATCACGTAACAGGGCTTGTTGCCTTAGAAAAACATAAATTTCTTGTATGATATCGGATAAAGACATTTTGTATATGAAAGTTGTAGCTCTGGTTTCGATCTACAAATTTCCAGCTTTGAGTTTTATCATTTAAGGTCATTAAGATGCTCAAAAAATAATATAAAGTTTCAGCGGCATATTAATTACGTACTAGGGCTTGCCGCCTTATGAAATCAAGAAATTTGTATAAAGTTGCATATATCTTTGAGAGGTATAATTTTCATAGATATAATATCTTTATTGAACAGCATACAAGAAATATATGATTTTCTAAAAATTATCTTATCCTCCTTTTAAAAAGAATAAGTCTTTCATACCATTTTTTTTACATTTTAAACTCATGTTCATGGTCTGTTTTATTCCCAATTGTTGCCCGTGTGAAAAGAAAGGTGAGAAATTGGGCCATGTTTCTCGAGAGAGACTGCCTTCTCTTAGGCCAGGAGTCTTATACTTATAGTCAGAGTGCTCTATGACGATCTAACCTCTTTCCTGGGCTCTGCTTGCTCGTCTACGCTCCGACCAATTCAGTAAAAATCAAAAAAAACGTTCTAAGGTGACAAGCACTGGTACGCTATTATTATATTATTTTTAAGCATCTTCATGACCTCAAATGATAAAACACAAAACTAAAAAGTTCTACAACTTTGTATACAAAGTATCTATATTTAACGTCATATAAGAAATATATGATTTTTCTAAGATCACAAGCCCCGGAATGTGATTAATATACTACTAAAACTTTATATTATTTCTTTGTCCATCTTAACAACCTCAATTGATAAAACTCAAAACTAAAAAGTTGTATATCTCATCGAGAGCTACAATTTATATATATAAAGTATCTTTATCCGACACCATCCAAGAAAGATATAATTTTCTAAGTCGACATGTTCTGAAATGTGATTACTATACTGCTGAAAATTTATATTAATTTTTTAGCATCTTCATAATCCCAAATGAAAACATTCAAAACTAGAAAGTTGTAGATCTCATCAAAAGAAATAACTTTCATATAAAAATTATCTTTATCCGAGGTCATATGAAAAAATATGATATTTCTAAGATGAAGCCTCGCTGTAGGAATATGGGTCCCATATACCATATTAGTGCCATGTAGGATAGCGGGCCGGGTAAACGCCCACCGAAATCTGGATGAGGCCCGTTACAGTTTAAGAGCATCTCTAGCAGGTCCTCAGAGCATCTCCAGTAGTAGGAGAAAATCTCAACCCAAAACTAGTTATTGGGGGAGCTATGATTTGTTTTGAGGGTTTTAAAATGTTTTATCTCGAACAGAACAAGAAAATCTCACCCTAATATCTCCTCTGATATGTGGGGCTGATTTATCATTCACACCTTCCTTCTATTTTTTTTTCTCTCCCCACCTGTTCGTTCCCGTGACCTCCGACTCTCCGAGCGCCGCTTCGGCGCATCCTCTTCCACCACCATTCTCCGTCATCACTCCCTCCTTTCCTACGCTCCTCCTCCCACAATGCTCCTCCTCGGCCACGTCTCCTCCGCCGCGCGCACCTCGTTTGTTGGGCACGTCGCCAAGCCACCCAGCATCTTCTTCCGCCGCCGCTCCTCTTCCTCTGCCACCCTCCTACTCCAAGACTGCCGGTGACTTGGAAGACGCGATGTGTGTGCTACCGCTCGTATTGAGGACAAGTCCAGGTCCCTCATCTTTGAGGGGTCAGGGGCTAGATTTTGAGCGGCTGAGAAAAAAATTGCTCATTGCGGGTGAGATTGGGGTACTGCTGGAGCTCTCAAATCCCTCAAATTACAATTTTTCTCATTGGGGTGGAAATTGGGAGACTATTGGAGATGCTCTCAATACCATCCCTCATCCCTATAAAACTGTCATATTGGGGGAGATGACGCAATTTCATTACTCCAGCGGCTCCCCAATAGCTCTCCCTGGTTTTGGTGATCAAAAAAAAAGCCTCCCATCTTCCCACAAATAAAGGAGGAGTTGCATCTCCCCTAATTGTGTTGGAACCACGACAACTGTCATCGTCTTCCTCCCGCATCCTCTATTATGACATATGAGTCCCATGTATTGGGACGATTATTATTAGTGATCTGCGGGAGCATCTCCTCAATATTTCACAAAAGTACTATTGATGACCACCACTACCATTATTGGTGAGCTGCTGGATATGCTGTGTGGGAGCTAAACAATTTGGGACTTTAGGACCCAATATAACATCTCCAGACATTTTTTTAGAATCACTCAAGAATTTTTTCATATATGGAATCTTCAACAATGCATCTCTGACAACAGTACCAACATGGGCAACAAAGGCATGCATTTCTATCAGTTATTTCGTCGCCTGCAAAGGGAGGCATGTTAGTTAACATTTATGAGCACCTGTCAGTCCATCTATCTGGAGCACGTACTGGACGACAAGGCCTGGCAGGGGTAGACCTGGAATGTGAATCGCCTCCGGGTGACGACGACGGCGGGGTGACAGCCACGCCACGCCTGCCGCAGCCACTGGCCACTGCAGTACTGCACCGGTCAAATTTCACCGCCTGGACCACCCACGTCCGCACGTAACGATGGAGCGAACCATGGATCCTCTTCTACAAATATACCCACCATGGCACGGCAGCACCACACTCTCCTCTAGCTCACTGTACCCTCGCTTCCAGTCCAGGGTGTCCCCGATTCCACACCTGGCAAATTAATGGCCTGCCACACCGTCCTGCCACTTCTGTTCCTCCTTTTCCTCTTGGCAATGGCAGCAACTGCGGACGACGTCGCCCCTGGTCCTACCACACCACCACCGGAGCTCAACCTGACCAACATCCTGGAAAACGGCGGGCAGTACACGACGCTGCTCCGCCTGCTGAACGCCACCCGGATAACCGAGCAGATCACCAGCCAGCTCAAGAACTCGTACGACGGCCTGACCTTCTTCGCGCCCAACGACAACGCCTTCACCAAGCTCAAGGCCGGCACGCTCAACGCCCTCACCGACCAGGAGCAGATCCAGCTGCTGCTCTACCACGTCCTGCCCCGCTACTACAGCCTCACGACGTTCCAGACGGCCAGCAACCCGCTGCACACCGAGGCGTCGGGCCCCGGCGGCATGTACAGCGTCAACGTGAGCACCAGCACGACGAGCCCTCTGGTGAACGTCTCCACCGGCGTCGTCGACGTGCCCATCAGCAGCACGCTGTTCGCCCGTTTCCCGTTCGCCGTGTACTCCGTCGACGACGTGCTGCAGCCCCCGCAGATGTTCGGCAGTTCCCACAAGGCTTTTGCGCCGGCGCCGGGACAGGCGGCTGCGGCGGCGGGGCGGCAGAAGGGTGTCCCTAAGAGCGATGTGGCAGCGGAGCCATCGGAAGCGGTGGAAGAGCCAGAAGGTAGCAGCACGAACGCCGCCGCGGCTGGAAGAGGGATCGCGGTGTGGCTGACGACGGTCATTGTTTTGGGTGGCATGGCCTTGTTTCTCAATCTACTAGTTAGCGCGTGAGCAGTGTGTGCTTCTTTCTACAATATTTGTTTTCCTTGTTTGGCATCTCTTATTTCTCTTGTGGTTTTTTCTTACGACCCGGTTTATATAGTATGTAGTAATACTAATAATGTAATCCTGCATTTATGATAATGATGATTCGATGATTCACTTGTGTAGTTTTGTTAACAAAACCATAACTGAATATTCTTTAGATTAGATACTAATTAAGCGACTAAGAGCATGACTAATAATATAGCCAACACTATATATTATTGTCATATCATCTCTATTCATATTCTAAGGTTAGTCCGAAGCCAGAAACTATGGGATACCATCAATTTTGGTCATGAAACAAAAGCTAACAAAAATTATGAAGATAACCTTTCATGGTCAATAATATAATGCATAGCCTTAGGGGTGTTTGGGATTACTCTACTCCATAAAACCAGCTCCTCTATGTGACACTATAATGTTTGGATTTTTTTTTTGGTGCTTCTTGAGGCCAAGGCCAGGTGCTAGATATACGATGGGCACTGGTGTCAGTAGTTACAGTTACAGGTGGGAGGAGGAGGGCGGTGCCAATTGCATTAGACTTTCAGACTAATGGGAATGAACCAATATCACCATGTTATTAACAGAAAGTGGTGGATTTGGTGATGGACAGGTAAAGATAAGAGGAGGACGCCAGGATGGGGTGAGCAAAGCTGTAACAGGGAGAAACAGAGCTGGGAGAAGACCATCTGAATGTTGAAGAATTATCCATGAACAGCTGTATTGTACGCGATCAGACAAACTTAGTTGGTCTAGTCCTGGAAAGAAAGGTCTATTCTCAGCCAGCATCTACACAATGATGCAGTGAATGTTGACAACAAACATGGTCAGCAAAAGGATGCCTTCCGGTCAGTTATCTGGTTTTCTGCAATGAGAGCATCTACAAAAGTTACTAATATTTTCTATAAATATAATTAAAGTTAAAATAATTTAACTAGCACGAAAAGCTAGACAACGCTTAAAAAAGGACCAGTAAAGTACTCAATTGGTCTACAAAAGAAGGGGTTTGGTATGGTTATCATATATTAATATTTATCATATTAAGGTGATATGATAAATATTTTTTATATGTTTTTAAAATAGAAAAATATCTTGCAATTCGATTTATTAGGTATACTATCTTGCAATTAAATCTAACATGCCGCATGCGTGATGGATGATCCTAGCACAAAGTCTTAGTCGTAACATTTCTTTAAAGTGATATATTTGACTGATCCAATGCCAGTTTCAAATTAGTTGCAATGTTTTCTTAACGTGACTTACGTGATTAACCACAACATGAATCATCATTGCAATGTTTTTCTTTCGAGGTATACGAAATTGACACGTCCAAGTTTTTGAGGAAGTGATATTTGAACTATGTATGTTACGGTTTGGAATTCAAATACAAGAAACATGTCAACTAGATTAGATCTCTACTCCTAAAAAGATCTAACTACATTAGGAGACTTTCTACATGGACCCGATGAAAAAAATAACGTTGATCCTACTCCATTAGGAGACTTGACAAACGCTACCAATGGAGGTAATTTTTGATACACTTTCAGATGTGCAGTGATCTGCATTCAGTATAAATTCATCCAACTAACGCTTCCCGCTGCCTATTTTGAACCAGGTAGGAATGGCGCATCCCGTAATTATGTGCATGGGCGTTAATTGCTGCTCAGGTGACGACGGCGGGGTGACAGCCACGCCTGGCCTGCCGCAGCCACCGGCCAAATGCTTAGCGACGGAGCGAACCAATTGCTCCTCTGTCCATCAGACGAGTCCTCACGTAGTGCTTCTTCCCATGCAGACAGAGACGAGATCCGTACGCTTGAGGGCCAATGAAGCCAAGTGCTCTACCACTACAGGCATGCCGTATGTATACATACGTCCAGGGCAGACAGGTTACCGGCAGCCATCGCGCGTTCAGCTGCGTATCTCGTCACATGCACTGCTACACTATACTAGAGTCCATGATGCCAAGACACGACGACAGTTGCTGGACCAAAGAAGCTAACGGTGTACAGAACCATTTAAATCATATGCATGCTCTCCCATGCTCCTAGTACTTTAGCTGTGCCTGCTCTCCAACAAGAACACCGTACCCAAAATACAAAACTCATTTGACATTTCGGTAGCGCTACAGGCAAAGGGTTCAGTACTCATTTTTGGTCTTCTTCAACAACAGGATCCAAAAGAGAGTCCTTTCTTCAAAATGAGTCTCTAGAAGAGAGGATGCCCATATTTAGATTGTGCCTGTGCTATCACCCAAAATGAATTTGCCATATAGATACTTTGTTAGAGACCAATACAGTAATATCGAAGACTCCTATCCCATTCAACCCATAACAAATTAACTCTCTTATTCAATCCACTCCACCTCTTATTTTATAGTTTTAACTCAACTCATTCCAACCCACGTACTAATTAAACCGGTTGGTCTGTTATAAAAACCCCATGGGTTTACATAAAACGTATATATAAACTTGCATAAGGAATATGGGTCCTGGATTTAAAATCTCGCGTTTACATTATAATTTTTTATCAAAATTGACTAGAGTTTGTTTCAGATGATTTAATATAACAAGCAGCTACTTCATGCCAATTGGCACCGCAAGATCAATATGTGGACCCCACATTAAAGCCAGTCCCTAGAAATAAAAGCTTGCGTTCACACCTTAAAATTTTAATGAAATTAAGTGAAATTCATTGGATAAGGTTCAAAATGTGATGAAGCTAATCTGTGCCAGTTAGCACAACAAGATATGCACGTGGGTCCCACGTCAGAAGCTGGACCCTAGAAAATTATGCTCGCGTTCACGCCTCGCCATGGCCGGCTCACCGCGCCCGAGATCCGGCGAGCCCCTGGCCACGCGCACCATAGCTGACGCCGTGAGCCCTTCTAGGTGGCACCACGCGCCCCTCCCCCGGCTGCATGCGAGCTTCAGGCACTTCCTGCTGCGTTTGCCTGCGAGCTCCGGCCGCCCGCGCCCTTGCTGAAGCCATGGCCGTGCGCCCCTCTGCTCTGCTTGATAGGAAGAGAAGGAAAGAAGAGCTGACCCATGGGCCCAAATTAGCTGTGAGATAAAGTGAATATTAGAGCCCAAGGGCAATTCTGGCCATTCCAATGAAAATGCGTCTGCGTGGATCTGGAGCTACTACATTAGCTAAACAATTTCCTGGTAGATCCACGTTGCATCTCAGATCACGGTAGAGCTGATCCATGGTGAATCCCATATCCAGATTCACCTTTTGCAGTGGTGAATCTCTGCAAAGCGGGCCCTATGATATATTGAAAATTCAACATCAATCCATAGGTTCAATGCATTCAAACCCACACAAAAAAGAACCCAATACCAAGTTACAAACCCATTCGACCCAATTTTCTATTAAACCCAATGTAACCCAACCCGGTAAGTAAATTAACCCATTCCCAGCCATCCAAAGTGCACCCACTTGAAAAGCCAACCCATTAAACCCATTTGAACCTAACCCATTAACAAGCCTTTTAGCGTCCGCAGCCACCTCGTCTCCTCCAGCTCGAACGAAAGATGCCCTTGTGAAGCATGCAAGGCCGATGCAGGGTGATGCGGTGATTTTTTCGCTAAGAGGGGTCAAGCAAGGTTATCAAGGAGGTTCTAGAAAAAGTTTTATCTGGAACGACCGTTAGGCCATGATAAGTTCTCCCCCACTTGGAATGAAGCTCGTCCTTGAGCTTTGCCAAGCGGTAGAAATTGTCCGAGGAGTTCTCTCCGTCACAGCTACTTGCTTCTCTACTGCGGTAAAAAGTATTAACTGTTCCCAGAAATTTTATGCAACATCATAGGCACCAACCATAGAAATATCTCAAAAGAGACATAACGCGGTATCACTAGGGATGAAAACGGATCCGATACGAACGGATATCACTCATATTATATTTGTTTTCATATTTCTGTTCGGATTCGAATTCGGACACGGATAGCGTTCGGATACATATCTACTCTTCGATTACGGATACGAATAATGAGTATCGAATACGGTATGAATCGGATTCGGAGAAGGTCGGATACAAATATCTATTCGGATATTGAGTAAAAGCATATATATATATATATATATATATATATATATATATATATATATATATATATATATATATATATATATATATATATATATATATATCATGCATAAACCATTACACCACTCTATGAGTCCATAATCCATCTAGATTAAGCCGAAAGACTAAAGAGTAAAGCAACAAATAAGATAAAGATACGGATACATCATACATCAAACATCATATAAGCACCAATCTTGGCAAGATGAGTAGAAATAGCCAAGCACATTGCTTCATGGGTCTCATGGAGTCATGGTCATGGATTCAAAATCTACAATCCTTATATAGGCCATTTTTTCATTTTGAGAAAGTTTGAACAAAATGTAGTTCAAATTTCACAAGTGTGTGACATAGTTTTAGAAAGTCTATATGAGATTTAAGAATTTGTGACTAGTGTTTGATAAAACTTTTTCAAATGGGAAAATGAGCTATGTAACAATTGTATATCTTGCTGAGATGATCAAACTTGGTATTCAGAGTTTTTTCATCTGAGGTCATTTAGTATCTCATTTGAGCAAGTTTGACCAAGTCAAATTTGGTCAAATGAAAAAACAACACTTTGACTCTAGTATTATGAACTCTAAATGACTTCAAATTGAAAAGTTTTGAATACCAAGTTTGTTCAACTCATCAAGATATACAATTCTTGTTTTGGTCAACTTTCCATTTGAGATAGTTTGGACGGTTCAAATTTGTGATTTTTAAATTTCGATGCTTACAAACTAGCTTTCGGAACCCTAGATTGTCTCAAATTGAAAAGTTTTGAATACCAAGTTTGTTCAGCTCATCAAGATCTACAATCCTTACATAGGCTATTTTTTCATTTGAGAAAGTTTGAACAAAATGTAGTTCAAATTTCACAAGTGTGTGACATAGTTTC